TCCAACCCTGGCTGATTGGGATCCCATCCCTGGCGCTGGCGAATTGCAGTTAGAGCCCAGTGGAGGCTCTTCCCGTCGGTCGCCCTCCTTTCCTGGATCCGCGCTGCTATTACCACTAGCGTTCGCTGTTCCTTCTTCTGCTCGGAACCCAGGCGTCTTAGTCGGCAGGGCTTGCCCCTCCATCCTCCGCGCAGGAAATCTGTGACCTGAACGCAGCTGATGAGTATGTAATTCTTGATCAAGGCCGCTCATCCCTTACGGTGCATCACCGCAGGTCCTCCAGGCGTTCGTACCTGTTCTGCTGAAATTTCAGCACTGCAACTTTTTGCTTGTATGAACAAGTCTAAACCACCTCGCAAGGGCTCCGTCAGATTGCTCCTGCTTCTCCCTACTGCTAGCTTCCTTTGGCTTAGGAAAACAAGATTGCAGTAAAAAGAGAAACATACAAGCAAAAAGCGAGAGACCTGAGTGCTCCCCCCGACTACATTCCCTCCTCCTCCTGCCTAGGTTCCTCCTGCAGCACGCTAACTCTAGTGCCAGACGCGAGTCAGCTGCACTGCTCGTGATGGCTCCTAGGTGCTAGCTAGCTCCCACTGGGCCCACTAGGCATGCACTGCAATCCAGCTGGAATCGAGTTCCTAGCCTGGAATCGCATTCCCAGCTGGAATTGCATTCCCAACCTGGAATCGAATTCCCAGCTGGAATCGAATTCCCTCTTCTGTACCAACCTCCTCGAATTTCCCTGCACTCGGCTCTGTAAAGCGTATGTACAGTACATACCACGCACACAAAAGAAATTAGAGTACAAGTCCAGAAATGCACAATTACCTGGCTGCTGTGTAATTCACGCCTTAGCCTGCTGGCTAGGCGTTAATAACGCGACAGCCTGCTGTTATTCTACATGGTTAGCTGCCTGCTGTTATTCTACATGGTTAGCTGCCTGCTGTTATTCTACATGGTTAGCTGCCTGCTGTTATTCTAAATGGTTAGCTGCCTGCTGTTATTCTAAATGGTTAGCTGCCTGCTGTTATTCTACATGGTTAGCTGCCTGCTGTTATTCTAAATGGTTAGCTGCCTGCTGTTATTCTAAATGGTTAGCTGCCTGCTGTTATTCTACATGGTTAGCTGCCTGCTGTTATTCTAAATGGTTAGCTGCCTGCTGTTATTCTAAATGGTTAGCTGCCTGCTGTTATTCTACATGGTTAGCTGCCTGCTGTTAGCCTGCAGACATGCGACACAAGTTAGAAACAGACTACTAACATGGCTTACAGATGTGTTAACAGCTCGAGGTTTCCCAACTGAGCAGGAATATGCCCGGCAAGTTGATTGAAATAAAGATCCCTGGTGGCAGAGGGAGGCACGTTGAGACAAACACTTCTGTACGCTATGTACGGATGCTGTGAAGTACCAGTAACAGTTGTGTGTCTCATGCCTTGTACATGGCTGGCTGTTATGGCAATGAGGGGTCATCCAAGCATGCTTTTCAACTGGGGCGAGGAGAGCTCTAGAGACACAGAGGGGTCATCCAATCCAGGCATGCTTCCAGGTCTGAACATGACAATGGGCCGTGCTCTCCTTGAGCCATTAGACTAGGCGAGCTGCAGCTTAGGAGAATTCTTTAGCAGAAGAACAACAGTAGAGTTTAAACTCTTTGTTGCCAATGCAAAGAACAAGATCGAAAATGACAATGGGACATGCACTCCTTGCCTTGACGTTACGAACAATTATGACGCGGTAGAGGATTCTACGATTCATTCTTACAAGGACTTTAGCCTAGTGAGAGATGTGATGCTGTCTGGAATTGAGCCGCCCAATGCGTTTTCTTGAAGATAACTGCGTGGGATGAGTCACAGAAAGTGATGAGATGAAAAACGCAGGCATGGCTGGAAGAAGGGAGACCTCTGCCTCTGGGCACACTCAGGTAGGTGGGCACACTCAGGTAGGTGGGCACACTCAGGTAGGTGGGCTCACTCAGGTAGGTGGGCACACTCAGGTAGGTGGGCACACTCAGGTAGGTGGGCACACTCAGGTAGGTGGGCACACTCAGGTAGGTGGGCTCACTCAGGTAGGTGGGCTCACTCAGGTAGGTGGGCACACTCAGGTAGGTGGGCACACTCAGGTAGGTGGGCACACTCAGGTAGGTGGGCACACTCAGGTAGGTGGGCTCACTCAGGCCTCCCAAGGGGGGATGAGACGAGTATGGTGGGACGGGATGAAAAGCATTGTTTGGCTCGGCACACAGAGGGGAACGAGTAGTAGTGGAAAACTTGAAACATATTCACACAATTCTCTCTAGCTGATGGCAGGAGCATCAGCGGGAGAAGTGAAACTATAATTGGCAAAAAAGAGGAGGGAGAATATGGACAGAGATGGAGGCTGGAGGACACTGGGAAGACACGGGAGAGGTGGGGGAGTGGATGCACAGACTAGATGTTCCCCAACCTACAGATATTATGTAGATCACATGTTCAGTACATACAAACTCACAAGCACACAAACACAGTGATAGAGAAAAAGGGCATCTGAACCATTCCATTTCACGATTCGTGAATTCGCTGCATGAAACGATTCTGTGCGGTGAAATTCGGTGACCGGGTTTTACCGTTCAGTTGAATTCAACTTCAGGTTCGAGGTTGGATTGTGGACCTTCCACGTGGCACCAATCTGGGCAGATAGCCGCCACCTTACTGATTCTGGAGCTCACCCATTTGTGAGCAGCAAACCAGCATTGGTGGTTTGAGTGCAAAAACCGCCCGTCCACTGGTTCTTTCTCCGACACACAGGTAGGTGTGGGGGAGGTGGGAGGTGCAATGCGAAAGATTCTCTTGCTTGCTCCGTAAAAACACGGCGAAGCCAAAAGCATTAAGAATCCTTACCAAAGGCCTATCCCAAACATGCCAAGAACATGTGGCTACTCACAGACAGGAGCAAAGGCACGAACCCCTGTTCGGTTCGACACTCACGCAATTGGTCCACTTGAGTAAAACTGTCGAACAGCGTCGAACATAGACAAGTTTGACTGTTTGAAAGCGGTTAATTGAATTTCTTGCCAATCTACTTGTTTTTATGTGTCCCCCCTCCTTCTGAAATCCCCACTCCCCCTACTTGAGTTTCAACTAACCAAGGGCAGGGAAAAGTTGTTTCCTGCCCTAAATGTGGCTATAGAGAGTGAATGGACTTTTCGAACTGAACACTTTGGGCGAACAGTCGAACACCACTCTCTGGGTATGATGATGTTTTATCATCATACCCAGAACCCATGTTTGCAATCTATGATGGGGCGAGCATGTTAAAGAACGTCTGTTGCTCATGTCTACTTTCTGCAAGCAGTCATCACGAGCAGCTTACAGCAAGGTTAGAGAGGTAAGCTTTCCGACAGCAGCTGGAATTGATCCGTTAAGCTGATTCCCCCACAGACTCCTGGCATGGGGGTTGGAAATCGGGTATAATTACCTCCCACATCATTCACTCACAACAACTGCGTTCTTCATGGCATTTGGGCATGGGTGCTGCTTTATGATCGCACGACTAACGCAGCAACGAAGAAGCAGCAGCAGAAAATGAAGTGGCAACAAGAGACAGCATAATGAGTGATCAGTCCAGTCCAGCACAGTAGATAGGAAGATGCATATTGTAGTGGTTGGATGGATGGAATGGAAGGGGTAGCCATGTGGAGAAGAAGTGCCGATACGTGTCAGCCCAAAGGCTCATGCATGCATGCTCTGAACCTGGGGCGAGGAGAGCATTAGGGACACATTTATGACGGGTGGAAAGCTTAGCGCATTATACAATGCCATGCTCCCAGGCCATATATCTGGAGCACACGTCGCTTCCTAGAGTGAGACTGTGTTCAGACCAAAAGAGCTTGCATTGCAGCGCTGCCCATCTCCCACTGCTTACAAGTGCCTCAATGAAACGAGGTTTGAAATCCCATCTGGAATAGACCCAGTGAGGTGACACCAGTCCATGGTTCTGGTGTCGGGTGGGCGTGATTGAATGGAACAGTAAACAGGTGGATAATACTGCCGTATACGTGGAAGGTAAAATGAGAATTGGAGTGTTTGTCTTTGAGTACGGTGCGTCCATGCTTCTGTTTTGTTGTGCCATGGAAGGGGACACGAATACAGGGGAGCGAATAGGAGGGACCACATACATATGGAAGACGAAATTAGCAGGGAGGACAGGATTGAGTATCTAAAGGTCTGAAAAGCGTTGCTTTCCATCACTGACCTTTCGTTCGATGGAACAGAATTGATGCACTTCTAGTGATAGCTAGTGTGCCATTTGCCTGCTCTAGCTGTATAGCTTTTAAGTTCTCTCATGAGCTTCCTCATTCTTTCCTCACGTGAGGTAAGATTACCACGAGAAAGAATGGACTCTAGAGCAGGCGAGCTTAACATCTCTCGTAAGGCTCTTACAGCTGTCTCAGTGAAGTGAGAGAGGAGATGCTATGAGGAATAGACCCGTTCAGAGGGTTGACCCCCAAATCTCTATGTGGGGTGGGTGGGTGGGTTGAAAGAAAGGAAGAGTTGCAGACACTGACGGTGACACACGCAACACGAAGTCTGGGAAGTCACGGCAAGCAAGCAGGTCACCAGCAGCATGTGTCGGGCCCAGTCCAAATTAGAGAGAGAATATTACACACTTACATGCTGGTAATCATGCCTGCAGCGTCACAGGTGAGCCCTTCATTCATGGCACAGTCTGTATTTACGACCCAGCTTGGAAACGCCGTTCCCCATGCCTTCTGACAGTCTATGAAAAAACTTGCTGACAGTTGGAGACAGGAGAGGAGAGGGAAGGAGAGAGGAGACAGTTAATATGTACTCGCTACAGCTCCTGGCGCGCGTCATATCTCGCCCGGACATCGACAAGAGCGGAGTGGATGGGGACGGAAGATGCTCCACACTGTCAACCCACCCACCCACCCCACATAGAAATTCAGTTGAAAAGAGGAAGAAGCAGTGGGCTCACTGACCGCGGCATACCGGGGCCGCGGTATGGGCGCAGCCTCACTCGCTCTGCCACTCAGTGGGCTGGGACTGGCCGACCCGCAGTGGCCGGCAGCAGTGGCCGACCCGCAGTGGCCGGCAGCAGTGGCCGACCCGCAGTGGCCGACCCGCAGTGGCCGACCAGCAGTGGGGGGGGTGTGTCGCCAGCTACACCCAAGCAGCGCAGCCGATAGCGTTGCTCCCATGTCAAAGATGAAACCGATAGCGTTGCTCCCATGTCGAAGATGAAACCGATAGCGTTGCTCCCATGTCGAAGATGAAACCGATAGCGTTGCTCCCATGTCAAAGATGAAACCGATAGCGTTGCTCCCATGTCAAAGATGAAACCGATAGTGTCGCTCCCATGTCAAAGATGAAACCGATAACGTCGCTCCCATGTCAAAGATGAAACCGCTTTGCAAAGGCTTCGTCCTCCCTGGGAATGTTTTGTGTTGGAGCCTGTTGGGGAGCTCTGGTAGGAACCAAGGAGCACTCTCGTGATGATGGGTCCCTTGCAACCCGCTCAAACGACCGGCTCAAGGAAGGAACCAAGGAGCACTCTCGTGATGATGTGTCCCTTGCAACCCGCTCAAACGACCGGCTCAAGGAAGGAACCAAGGAGCACTCTCGTGATGATGGGTCCCTTGCAACCCGCTCAAACGACCGGCTCAAGGAAGGAACCAAGGAGCACTCTCGTGATGATGTGTCCCTTGCAACCCGCTCAAACGACCGGCTCAAGGAAGGAACCAAGGAGCACTCTCGTGATGATGGGTCCCTTGCAACCCGCTCAAACGACCGGCTCAAGGAAGGAACCAAGGAGCACTCTCGTGATGATGGGTCCCTTGCAACCCGCTCAAACGACCGGCTCAAGGAAGGAACCAAGGAGCACTCTCGTGATGATGGGTCCCTTGCAACCCGCTCAAACGACCGGCTCAAGGAAGGAACCAAGGAGCACTCTCGTGATGATGGGTCCCTCTCAACCGGCTCAAACGACCGGCTATGGATAACCAAGGAACGCTCTACTTATAAAGGGTCCCTCTCAACCTGCTCAATCGACCTGGCTGTTGCCGACCTGTGGCTTCGCAAGTGAATGAGACCAACCATGAAAGCCCGTTGCCACCCGTCTTTAATACTAGTATCGCTCCTACTACCCTATTAACAGCCGTTGCCCCTATTAGCATTACTACAACTACGATCAGTAGCATGGCTGTAATAGTATCGCTAGCACACGCAATCATGTGCGATACGGAGCTGGAGGGAGGAGGTACTTTTTAGTGAGGCACAAGCACTGGTTCGAGGAAGGAGGGTAGTACAAACTAAAGCATTTCGGTAGCTGCACTGGAAGCATTGGTGCGAGGGGTACCTTGAGAGGCGTTGATCCGTGTCACGTTTCGAAATTCCCAAGGAATGCGCCCAAGCCTGGGAGGAGGTTTCTGTCAGACGGAAGGGGCCCGGTGCACGCAGGATCCTCACCTCACCTCACCTCTCACACGAGTTGCCTCGTCCATCCCTCCGAACCTAACCTCGAACTCAAGACCGCCGAGCCTGCAAGTCTTCGGAACAACGGAAGGACTTGGGTCATGCTTCCTGCTGCGTGCGATTTCGTCCTTCAACCTCAAGTGCAAGAAGGGAAAAAATAGGTTTTGGCGGTGTTACGTTGGCACGTCACGTGCGATAATATTTTTTTTTTTTGCGAATCTTCACTACTGTACAGTTCCGTATTCAAAGGGTCGTGTTGATGACGTCGCACTTTGCTAACTACAGACGGGCAGTGAGATCCCACTTTGCCCAGTAAGTCTTCACTCACGCTTAGAAGATGTGGAAATGCCTCAGGAACTCCTTCACGTTGATTTTCAAAAAGTTGCGCCAGGGAGCCGGCTGGAGCCATCGTCCCCCGCCCGCATCGCACTTCTTTCAGCATGGCTGCTTCACTGTGAGTGGATTTGCTTGCTCCTCACAGGTTCCGCTTCAGATAATGCGCAATGGACGGCTATTGAAGCTGCCAAATTATGAGAGGCTTTGTGGCGAGGCGAGGACAAATATCACCTGGAAAGTCGTCTCCTAGCGAACAGATTGGCTGCTCGCACCCAGATTTGCCTAGACTAACGATACCGGCTTATAACGAGATGCTATCTCGAATATAATGTAATTGTGAACTAATCTAAAGAGGAATAGAATTCAGCAAATATCTCAATCTCATATATAATTGAACTAATTAGCTTTCATGGTGTCTATCTGATTTCCCAACTTTCATGTAGCCACATGTAAACATATATGACTATATCATGGGAACTATCATATTAAATTCCGATTCAAGCTTTCTGAGAAACTCACAAAATTAAACAAAATAATATCTTTGTACCATACAGGCACAACCATCTCTCTCCATAGACCAGCTCCATACAATATCATAAATGGTAGGCTTGAACGAGTCCTTCCTTGGCAAACCACACGTGGGTTTCAAATCAATTGTGAAAGTCTAATTAGGCTGACTTGCAAAGGCAGCGTTATCATTTCATATGGGTTGTAGTACATCGTTCTCGTCTTATATATGTCTACATAACAGCATACACAAATGGGTGAGCGGGTGGGAAATTAGAACTACAATTTCGGAAATGAAAACGTGGGTGGGGACGAATGTCCCCACGTCCCTCTTTTGTAGGCAAAAGAGGGTGAGTAGCGCTTCGGCGCTACCTTTGCTGTGTTGGCCACGTACCCCTTTTCACAATACAAAATTTTAGAAAGTGTTACATTTCATTACACTTTCAAAAAATATCATAATCTGACACTTAAAGCCCGAGTCTAGAATGGCAAGCTTTCACATTTACTGAAGTTGAAGTTAGGTTTGCGAAAGGTGGCGAGAGTAAAATTCGCAGAACAAGGGTGGCGAAGGGTTGAAGCGGGAACTGCTGTGGAATGCGAGGGGACGGGCGGCAGTATTTGGTTGCGCCTATCAAGGGTTTAGTCATGTTGAGCGATAGTTCACGGTGTCCACCACGGCGATGCCGTCGTGCGCCCAATGGGGGCACTTGTGCACGAGACCTGGAACATTGCGAGGTGTGGAATGCGCGGCAAGGGAGGGCGGGGAATATGAGCGCCTGGAGAGGGATTGCTTGGGCGCGCTCGGGCTCCTAGACCAGTTGCGCTGCATTCTCGCATCGGCAAATGGGGGGGGGGGGGGGGCTATTGAGCGTAGGGATTAGGATGGCATGCGAAGAGATAGCGGCGCAGATGCTCAAACAAGCCACCACTGCATTGCGGTTCTGCGCCAAGTGCGGGTCCCTGAGCTGGGGATCAAGCTCGTCATCCTGGCATCTGATGGGGTGTGGGAGGGATACAGGTTGTGGGGTGCGGGATTTCAGTAGGATAACCTTGCAGCAACACGTGAGTGCTTAGCCGGTTCAATATTATACATGTAAATCCTCCCGGCGTAGTCACCCCCTCACACATCCGCTTTGCTCAGGCGCCGATTTGACATCCTTCCGCCCATTGGGATGTTGAACCGCTGACTCTGTCGACCTCCATCGCAGGTGCTCTGCAGTGGTCGGAACCGCCTACCTCTGCTGCTCCTGCTCACGTATAACATTGGCAACAGGCATTTCAGTACGAGGCTGCCTCCAAATTCAATTCTCTCTGACCTATAAGACCACCACCGGCCATACCATAGTCTCTTTATTGGCGAAATCACTGTCCATTGTTATGAACTGCTGCTCCGGTGCAAATTGCCTTTCGTGGTGTGCCTACCTCCCAGTGACGTCGTTACTGCTGGAGTACCCACACCATGCCCCTCTCTACGCCCCCTCTCTTTTGCTTCCCTTCTCCCTGCCTTCCACACGTGCCCATTCAATGGTCTGCCCTGTGACCTTTTCCTTCTCCTTCTCAAAGCACTGCAACTGGCGGTCCACAATGCCACCATCAGCGCACCCACCCACGCACAGATACCTTAATTGCTTGGTAACTTACCTTCGTTGGCATGGACGGACTGCAACACTAGTTGAAGCTGTTCTTAGACCTGTACCATTAAAAAACAGTTATCCCCTCTTCATCCTCCTATCCCCACCCACCCCCCCCCCCGTCGCTCTCCTACCCCTTCTCCCCCCACCGTTGTCCTGCCAGCCGTACGTGTTGCTTTTGTTGGCAACGGTGCCGTGCACGTACGGCTAGACACACTTTTGTGTGCAAGTCTACTATACCCCCAAGTCTGTCCTCCCTTTCCCCCTTTCCTTCCGCCCTCTTTCCCGAAGCCCTCAGCAACATTGCATGAGTTGCTGTCGTTGGCTGTATCATCGAGAGCATCTCTAGCTTGCCTTGCTTGACATAGCGAGAGGCCAGGACCTAGCTCCACAGGTGCTTTTCGACCCTGGCGATAACATACGGGCATGGCAGCACTCTGTGGGTTACGTGTCATACTCTCTCAGTTGCACTCTCACCCTCTCTCCCTTATCCACAATCCATATTCGCCCCTGCGCCCTTTCTCCGTCCCACTCTTCTTCACTAACTCCCTGCTCCCCACCTCCTCCCGCCCCCCTTCACCGATGTCATAGAGATGCCTATACATCGCGGGGAACGGGGAGCATCTTTACCTTTAGTTGCTTCGCTTGATGTGTGTCGCGGGCCGTGCAGTCCGGCTGCTTCTTGTGCTCCGCAAAATCTGAGGGGCAGAGCAATAAGATCAGGGAGATGTGGCATTTGGTGGACTGGGTCTTGTGTGTGCTTCACGTGCCGTCTAGCACCTGCATAGGGGTTTCCAAGCACTCGTTCGCATGCTAACTCCGGGTGGTGTATATGGGAGAGAGGGAGCGTACCTAGTAAACGGTTGGGTGTATCGAGACGAGCATCGTGAGGTTGCCTTGGACATCTTGAGGCTGCTCAAACGTGCTGTACGTGCCAGGTAGCGTGTGCCGCGGGGTCTTGAAGCGCCCGTATAGCTGAGAATAAGGTTATTTTTTGTAGGGGGGAGAGCTACAGGGGACCGCTAGTACAGTATGGACAGCCCGCGAATCGAGATACTAAGAGGGATATGTGGCGTACAGCTGAGTAGGACTGCACCCCGCTGCATGTGCCGACCATCGTGCGCATCCGGGTTTTGATGGTGTTGTATACCTTGCTGTGCAGCCAAATTTATGGTGGTCAGAATCACAGTAACCCCATAGGTTTGGGTGCCTTGGAATAAATAGACTCCGGGTAATGAGATAAGCAGATGGGCAAAGGCAGACATCCATTGCACGCTCGCTCTCTCTCTGCTCATCTCCATATCCATGTGCCGGCCCACGGAGGATAGGGTTACAAAATGAGCTGTGCGCCATGCTCGAAGGATTAACGTTTCGTGTTATGCTCTGGGAAATGTTGCAACCGTCCTGGACACGAGGGCCGGGTTGACCGTTAGTTGCATACAAAGCAGAGAGAGGGAGAGTATTCTTGACTGTCTTGATGTCAATTCAACGCGGGGGCCTTTTTCGTGACAAGTCTGCTGTGGTCCAAGGACACTTACTTGTGGGGAGCCCGTATGCCAATATCACGCGAGGGACGTGTGCTCCTCCCGACATCGGTCTGCCCACTTATTCAGGTACCAAACGGTCGGCTCAACAAAGGACTGCACGACGTGAACTGTGCGCACAATCCTGTTGATAGGGATCACCACGAACCCCGAATCCGTAACCTCCCAAGTCATTTGCATACAACCGGTCTCCTCGTGTACGTTCCCGAGCTCCATCTTCCGGAGAAACGCAACGGCGGTCCTGTTTGGTGCTCGCGAGGAACCAACATCGTCCGTGGAAGAGAGTAGCAGGCATAGCTGGCCGATACACTCCACCCCCTGCGCCGTCTTGTATTGAACCCAGGAGAATGCGGGATGGCCATGGTGCTTCGGCACTGCGCGTGCATGGTGCGGCTGGATGCTTCCGCTGCGACTAGGTGTTGCAGGTAGGGCTACCCCCGTATGTACCTGTGTCACCGACGTTTTCAGAATAGTGGAGGGGGTTAAAAATGCGTGAGAGATGGTGAGGTTGAATGTTAACAACTCGTGCTACATCATAGGAAGTGAGGTTCCAGATTCATGACCGATCCCCTAAAGCACGTTTTGGGAACAGG